CCAAAGGCAACTGTAGAGAGGGTTTCAAATGATACGTCCTTAAATATTTAACTGCAGAAACAGAGAGCCGTTTGTAAACGCCACTGTAGGACTGTAGGACTGTAGTATAGTAGTACAGTAGGACTGTAGTACTGTAGGACAGTAGGACTGTAGTAGAGTAAGACTAGTACAGTAGGACTGTAGTACTGTAGGATAGTAGGACTGTAGTATAGTAGGACTGTAGTACTGTAGGACAGTAGGACTGTAGTACAGTCGTACTGTAGTACTGTAGTACATTAGTACAGTAGGACTGTAGTACAGTAGGACTGTAGGACTGTAGTACAGTAGTAGAGTAGGACAGTAAGACTGTAGTACAGTAGTACAGTAGTACAGTAGTACATTAGTACAGTAAGACTGTAGTACAGTAGTAGAGTAGTAGAGTAGGACAGTAGGACTTTACAGTAAACAACAGCAGAACAGTTCAAACAGCCGTGGACTGGGCTCAGATTACAGCTTCTGCTTCAGTCCCAAACCTAGTGGCCTTAAACACACAGCGCAGTCTGTAATCATAAAACGCTTTAACCTAAACCTTAAAGAGACAAACTGACCTAAGAGTCATAATTGCATCCACATTGCTACTGTTTGATGGTACTTTCACAACAGGAAGGAGGAGTCGGGGTTTTTTTTTTTTTTTTTCAAACGCTCAGTAACGAAAGTAACAGAAACACAGAGTCAGTTCTAATAAAACCCCGACCGCTTCAGACTCTATCAGCGTACTCTAATACCAAACAGATACTACAGTATATCCAGTACTACTACACTGCACATCTGGCTTCCATAGCTACAGTAACGTTCTGTCATTTCATTCAACATTTGTTGAATTCCACCTTTAAACAGCAGTTGTCCAGTTATTCTCTGGCTGCAGCAGAATTCTTCCACATGAGTTTAAGACAAAACCTTGGATCGAGGTTTGGCTTCGGCCATTTGCAAAAGTAGACGCACAAAAGGAATTGTTTCAGGAATGTACACACAGTGTTCTCATGGTATTCCCATGTATTCTTTGGCACGGAACTGTGGAATAAGGAGCACAGACTGTCGTTTTTTTTTTCCTTAAACACGAGCGCTTTTTTAGTATTGATTTAATTCAATAACTAATAGAAAAAAATGTTTAATCGCAACTTTCTAAATTCTCTGATTTCTACAGAGATATCATACAGAGATATCATGCAAATGTTAGCTACAACAGTCCTGGTATAGACCCCAGAGCTAACGTTAGCCACAACAGTCCTGGTATAGAGACCAGAGCTAACGTTGGCTGCACCAGTCCTGGTACAGACCCCAGGGCTAACGTTAGCTACGTACAACAGTCCTGGTATAGAGACCAGAGCTAACGTTGGCTGCACCAGTCCTGGTACAGACCCCAGGGCTAACGTTAGCTACGTACAACAGTCCTGGTATAGCCCCCAGAGCTAACGTTAGATACAGCAGTCCTGGTACAGACCCCAGGGCTAACGTTAGCTACGACAGTCCTGGTACAGCCACCCGAGCTAGCGTTAGCTACAACAGGCCCGGTACAGACAC